TTTCACAAAAATGCTTTGGGGTGTCCTGTCAGACCGTCGGGCTTCCTCCGGCCACCTCTGGCTTCCTGCGGTGTACCGGGCCATTCTCGACTCGTCTGGCAATGCGTGCGCGGCATTCAACACGCGCTCGCCAGTTCCCGTCGGCAACCGCCATCGCGGCCGCATCAGCTGTACCAAACCGGCTGGCCGGTGTGACTTCGGCCCCCAGTTGTGCCAGCTTTGCTTCTTATGTTGTGGGAGGGCGGGTGGGACTGGGCATGCCATGCTTGACTCGCTCGAGCTGGCTAGCTTGACTCCTACTCCTACTCCTACTCCTACTCCGCCTCCTCCTCCTCCTCCTCCGCCTCCTCTTCCTCCTCCTCCTCCTCCTCCTCCTCATCTTCCCTCTCCTCCTCCCCCTCTTCCTTTCCCTCCTCCTCCTCCTATCCTCCTCCGCCTCCTCCTACTCCTCCTCCTCCTCCGTGTTCTTCTTCTCCTCCTCCTCCTCCTCCTCCTCCTCCTCCTCCTCCGCCTCCCCCTCCTCCTCCTCCTCCCCTCCTCCTCCTCCTCCTCCTCGTTCCTCCTCGTTCTCCTCCTCCCCCTCCTCCTCCTCCTCCACCCCTTCCTCCTCCTATCCTCCTCCTCTTCCCCTCCTCCTCCCCTCTTCCTCCCCTCCTCCTCCTCCTCCTCCTCTCCTCCTCCTCTCCTCCTCCTCCTCACTCCTCCTCCTCCTCCTCCTCCTCCTCCTCCTCCTCCTCCCTCCTCTCCCTCTCCACCTCCTCCTCCTCATCCTCGTTCTCCTCCTCATCCTCCTTCTCCTCCTCCTCACCTCCTCCACCTCTTCATTATCCTATCCTCCTCCTCCTCGTCCTCATAACCTCCCCTCCTTTTCTTATCCCCTCCTCCTTTTCTCCTCCTCCCCCTCCCCTCTCCTCCTCCCCTCCTCCTCCTCCTCCTCCCTCCTCCTCCTCCTCCCCCTCGTCCTCCTTCGATCCTCCTCCTTCGCCTCCTCTCCTCCTACGCTCCTCCTCCCCCTCCTTCCTCCTCCTCCTCCTCCTCCTCTCCTACCTCCTCTCCTCCTCCTCCTCCTCCTCCTCCTCCTCCTCCTCCTCCTCCTCCTCCTCTATTCCCCCCCTATCCCTCCTCCTCCTATCCTTCTCCTCCTCCTCCCCTCCTCCTCCTTCTCCTCCTCCTCCTCCTCCTCCCTCCTCCTACTCCTCCTACTCCGCCTATCTCCTCTATCCTCCTCCTCCTCCTCCTCCTCCTCCTCCTCCCCTTCTCCTCTCCTCCTCCTCCCCTCCTCCTCCTCCTCCTCCTCTTCCTCCTCCTCTTCCTCCTCCTCTCCTCCTCCCATTCCCTCCACCTCCTCCTCCTCCTCCTCCTCCTCCTCCTCCTCCTAGCCTCCTCCTGGGAGATTTCCTTGGCTCATATTTCGGACTGCCTTTTTGCCCTGGGTCCCAGGCTTCCAACAGGGGCCGATGAAGCTGTTCAGCTGACGCGAGTTGTGAGCACCACAGCCCGTGCACGCCACAGCAGGATGGGAAACCGCCTGTAAGGGCTCCTCGACCCTAGACATCACTAAACGGTGTGCCTTCAAGCCCTGCTGGCTTAGTCTCTCGTTGGCCTCACGCGCTGGAGTGGCGATTGATCCTGAACAGACCACAGTCGAGGGGGCCGCCATGCGACATCGAGCGCACCAGAGCTTGGAAACGGGTCCGCGCATATCATGTTCGTGCACATCATCAGGGGTGGCATACGGCGATTCACGTGTGTCGTGTCGCGAGCGCCCGCATGCACCCCCACATCCCCCCCCCCACGAAACCAAACCTGTTCCACAAACTGCTCGGCGGCTATGCGCATGCGTGCTATGCTGGGAACGGTAGCGCGCGCGCGTCCAGCGGCGAACTTGGCCCAGAGATCGGCCTGGCAATTTCCGAATCTGTCAGTTCTGCTGTTTTTTCCCAGCAGGAACATCAGCCTTCGTGTAGTGACTCTTGACTTTGCGCAGCGAGAGGCCAGCCTCGCAGAGGCCGCCGAACCTCCTCCTCCTCCTCCTTCTCCTCCTCCACCTCCTCCTCCTCATCCTCCCCCTCCTCCTCCTTCCTCCTTCCTCCTCCTCCCCCGAGCCTCCAATTATCCTCCTCCTCCTCCTCCTCGTCCTCCTCCCTCCTATCGCCTCCTCCTCCCTCCTCCTCGATCCCTCCTCCGCCTCCTCCCTCCACCTCCTCCTCCTCCCTCCTCCTCCCTCTCCCCTCTTCTCTCATATATATTCCTCCCCTTCTCTGCTTTCCTCCTCCTATCTCGCCGACATCCGCCTCCTTCGCTCCTCCAATTTCCCTCCTCCACCTCCTCCTCCTACTCCACCTCCGCTCCTCCTCTCCTCCTCCCCCTCGCCCTACCGCCTCCTTCTCCTTTCCTCTTCCGGATCCTCCTTCTCCTCCTCTTCCTATCCTCCTTCTCCTCCTCCGCCTCCCCGTCATCCTCCTTTTCCTCATCCTCCTCTGGTAGGGCTGAGCTCGCA